CTGCATGAAGAAAAGCCCAATCACAACAATGCAAACCACCAGCCACCCACCACCAACGCATAGAGCAACCCATCAACACTGTTTCAAAACTCAAAAGTTTGCTAGAAACGAATGAAGAAAAGCCCAAGCAAGCGATCCGCCACGAACAACAAGAAACAGCGATCCCACGGCACCAAATTATTTTCCAAGCTCGCAAGAATGAGACAACGGCCAAGCCAACCTCAGCCACGCTCAAAACACAGAGAGGAACGAGTCTACTTGGCTCTTCTCTCTCTCTCTATCTATATGTATATGTGTGTCTATCTATCTTTCTAATTGTTTATCTATCTATCTTTTTATGTCTATTTACAAATAAGTATATATATATATATATACACGTATGTATATATATATATATATATATATACATATATGTATACATATACATATATATATATATATTCATATGTAAAACTACTTATCCACCTATCTATCAATTTCTCTTTCTCTCTGGCTCCTCACTTGCTCTCTCTTCAAATTTGTCTCTCTGTCTTTCTCTCCCTCCCTATCTCTCTCGCTTTGTCGCTAACCCAGCCTCATGTTTCCTTAGTCTTATTTATGTATCCTAGTTTTTATTCTCCCCCCTCTCTCTCTCTATGTCTGTGTCTCAGTTTCGCTGCCCGTCGTATTCTTGAATCTTTTTCATCTAGGAGGGGGGATCCTGTGTGCCATCTGGTGAAGACCTGCCCCACCACGAGGTGGCCTCTGATATCTGCAGGCCCCTTCAGGCTGTCGCCACAACAAGATAAAGCCTTAACAGACACACAGTAAACCATTGAGAAGACCCTCAGGCCGGGAGAAGGCCAGCGAATGTGCAGAAATACCCTTGATGCACTTCTACAAGAAACCAGTGCAGCTTGAAGATGAAGCGTGCGACGACTTCCTGGGCTTCCGCATTCATGCGGATGATCGAAGAATCACCTACAACCTCCACCGACAAGCTTGGAGATATCGACTACCCCAGTCAGCCGGCTCCACCAAACTGCGCCTCAGCGGATACCACAGCAGGAAACATCTTATTCGAACCATTGCCTACCCGGAAGACGTAGCCAAGAGACAGCTACAAGAGCTTGACGACCTCTATGGCGACCTGGGATTTGCGCATCTCCTAGAAAAAGCAATAACAAGGAGTCACGCGCACATAAGCATGTTTGTTGGCAAATTGTGACGCTTTCTTCTTCTTTAACTTTTGGTTCAAGAAGGACAATGGTAGGTAGTCGAGTTAAGAAGACTAAAAAACAGCGCACCAATGCCGCCGGAAATGCCACAGACCTGACCGACATCGACACCGACTCCGAGACCATGGAATACACAGTCAGACTGCCACATGGACTACCGCTAGACATGAATGCGCCCGGGCACTCAACAGCCAAAGATGACCCGGTGGAACAAGAATGCGAACTACTTCTTCAACAAAGATACATTCCATTTGAAGTTTTCCCGTGGCTCTCCACAAAGCTCAACTCCGAATTCCTTCGAGCATCTGCACTCACCCGAGCAGGCAGGCGAGCTACTATCACGCGGGCAACATTGGCGTGCGCACCAACACAAGACAAAGACCATGGACGGCAGCTACACTGGCATACATGGTGCGAGCATGCACCCACACTTCATTCTCAACGGTGTCTCTGCTGCGCAATGTGCACATGCGCACCCATCGAGACAAGTACAACCAGCCAGGAAGCCTCAACGTTGTGATCCCGGTGTCAGCCTTTCGACAAGGAAACCTATGGATAGAAGAAGACGATGGACCAGACCTCTCTCCAAATGGACAACATCGCGGTCGAAACCTTGAACTCAAGCTGCCCGGGATTGAGTTCAGCCCATTCAAGCTTCACGGCACATGTCCATGGAAATCAGATCGATTGATCCTCTCGGCCTACACCACCAATCGCATCGAGGACTTATGCAGCGAAGACAAAAGATACCTTCACATGCTCGGCTTCAACCTCGGCTAATTAGAATCAGTACAACACTGTGGACACAATTCAGTGCCAGAAGCAGGATGCGACTGCGAGAACAAGCCATCTCCACAATGCTTTGTGTTTTCAGTTTGTACCTTAATCTCTCCTGAGTGCCTTTGCCTCAAGCACGTAACTAGTTCTTGGCCCTTGCGATCCAGCCAGCGACAGCATCAATGCTCCGTGGACGCAGCGTGTGGTATTCAGAAGAAACAGAACATCGTGCAGACGTGCCGACGGCCCAACTCAACGACATGTACCAGGTGGTGAACCAACTCAGCATTTCACAGCTCCTAGAGTTGGCCGAGTACGTGGCGCGCAGATTGCGCAATGCTACCCGCTTCATGTTCGGTGGAGTCAAATGTTGCATTCCATGTCAGCAGTGTGAAGCTGCAAACTACTGTGACCCCAATACGCGGTCCAAACATGTGCTCACACTTCACATTCGCAAAGCTCTGAAGAAAATCATATTTGGCATGGACGGCATCTATGTTGGTACCACGCAGACTAAAAAAGCAGACGGACAGCCAGGGAAGGTGATCGAAAAAGACCGAACGTTGCAACTTTGCTATGTCAAGATTTTCTTGGTATATCTTGGTTCTACTGATTTTGTAAGCCGTACTTCTCAAGCACGGTACCGACCCCTCCCCCGTCCTAGTGGCCAGTAGCCTCACATCATGCGCCGGGGAAGACGCACATGGGATGGAGAACGTCAAGATGAAGGACCACGACAAGCAGGACCCTCACAGCTCGACACATTGTACCAAATTGTCAATCAACTAAGTATGGTGCAGCTGTTGGAGCTCGCGGAGTACATCATCCGGAAAATCGCAAGGGAGTCGCGCTACATGTTCGGTGGCGTCAACTGTACATGCAATTATCAACAGTGCGAGGTTGAGCACCGCAGCAACCCTGAGCTCGCCGTCATGTACTGTTCCCACACATCGCCATCGCAAAGTTCTGAGGAGCATCATCGGCGACAAGGACGGCATCTATGTTGGATACATGACACCGACTAAGATATGCGACAGAGCAGCGACCACCAAAAAGAAGACCGAGCAGCAAGCAAATTTTCCTAAATAGTATGAGATTTGACTCTTGCACCTGAACGTTCCGTTACTGCTGTCCTTTTGGTTCCTTTAGGTTTTCGGTGTAGTCTTATAGCAGTTAATCCAGCCATGCCGAAGCGAAAAGCGGGAGAAGCTGGACTTCCCTGGTACTCGATGCGGAGTCAGTGCTTTCGGATGACAGTGGAAATTCCACCTGACCGAATATCCAGGGACAGACATATGTTCCTACATGTAGTGCTCTGCCTCGGAGATACTGTACTACAAGCACGGAAAATCTTCTCGTACCGCATCAAAGAGATCACCGGCAGAGTACCAGAGATCACAGCATTCTTTTTCGAACAAAGTCGTCGACGATTACATGATTGGGATCCGGTCACATCCATGGCCACACTGAAGCCGGTGCTCTTCGTTCGTACCATTTCGGACCAGGAAGTACGACAGCAGCGATGAAAAAGAAGAGTCCGCAGCCCCTCCAATGGAGGTCAGTGTGTGTGGGGAACCCAAACTACAACGGGACAGTGACATTGAGGTTAGACATATGACTGTGCAGGGGGGCAGTGGACATTGTGGAAGGCACTGCCCAACGAAGACCTTTCCAGTTTGTCGTGAAATGGATTGAGGACGCTCAATCCACGTACCTGCCAGATTGCTTGTGACATCACCCACAGTATAAGCTGTACAATGCTTCATCTTTGACATACTCGCTGTACAATGCTTGAGGATCCTTGGCTTTTTGTTATTATTAGTAAACATCAGCAAGGCAACCAGAGACTATTGAAGGCCATCCAACATTTTCTTTGAAGTTTCTCATCGGAGTCTTGAACTCAATGATGAGTGAAATTGACCACGGATGAACATTCCACCAGGGAAGCCTGGGTGTTCGAGTGTGTGTGTCTGTGTGTCTGTGTGTCTGTGTTGTGTCTGTGTGTCTGTGTTGTGTCTGTGTGTCTGTATGTGTCTCTGTGTGTGTGTGTTCATCACTTCTCATTTTTCTATATCCCGACTTCTTTTGCGTTGGGATGTGCTTGCATGGCGAGGAACCTTGGCTCGCCGAAAGCTGGAGGAATCGGAGGCCATACTGAAGAGACAGATAGTGGTCACAGCAAGCCCCGCTAAGACCAAGATGAGAATGCCGTTGTCCAGGGCATTCTGGTTTCAGAACATACCTGAAAGCTCTGTCAGCACTTGTATCAGCATTCTTCTTGGGCTCCTTTACCTGCGCAGGGGGAAGAAGTCCACGACTTGATGGTTGGAAGAGACCCAACGGAAGTCGTGAGTTGCGTCCTCAGCTTCAAACTGGTCAGACCCACACCGCCGGCACATTTGCTAAGGTTGCTCATCGCGAATCTAGCTCGCGCGACGCATGGCAGATACATTGAATGAAGTTTGCTCGTCAAACTGAGCTACATTGAGCGAACCTGCTCACCTTCGCGCAACCTGGCAGAGCCGCCCCTTTGAACTATGCAACCAAGTTGGGCCAAGTTCGTCGGGAAAATTGTTGAACAACGTCCAGTGCACGGCAGGATGTCGTTGTTGCCCGAGACGACAAAGATCCGCGAAACGTCTGCAGTGGACACCGACCTCCCGTTCATCGAGAACCGAGTCGGGAGTTGTTGGACGGTTTCTGGCTCTGCACGCATGAATGGATACACAGTCACGCTCACAAACTCGACCTACTTTCTGAAAACTCCGGCCTAGTTCACTTGCACTCGAAGCCTCCATCAGTCTTCGTGAAGCCAACTACTCGCCGCGCAACAGATTGTCGGTTCGATTTTTGCACACTTGAAGGTGCGAAATGGTTTCGCGGCCTGTCGCACTTGCTCATCGAGACTTCTCGATCTGTTGCCTCCTCTTTCCATGCTGAACCCCCGTGAAATGCGGGCTCTTCCCTGATTGGCAGCCTACAGCAAGAGGCACTGCTGCGGCAGCGATGGCAGCACTGCAGTACAGGACAGGTTCGTCCTGGAGCGATTCGCGCGCTCAGGGGTGTTTCGATGTCGCCCAGCGTGATGTGCACGATTTTACCGTCTTCCAGTCAGACGGGCACCAGGAGTGACCACTTCATGGAAGCCGTGCACGAGTTGGTTTCGGAGCACGCCGCCACTTTCACATTTGCTGGTTTGGGGCTGAGTTCTTGGCCTGGGCAAGCAGTCGCGAAGCAAGTCAGAGCTTTCGGAGGCCATTTCCATCTTGTACGTACTCTATGACGAGCCACACCGTGACATTAAGCTGAACTGTACCTATCTCCTATCTAGACCTCGCCAGACCCACTTCTCTTGGTCGCATCGTGGGCACTGTGTCGGACTTGCAACGTCATGGCATACTGCTTCGTGCCCCTGATCATCAGTTTATCGTTTCGCTGCCTGTCAACCAAGCACAACCTGTTTGTAGCCGTAGGCCCGATGGCATGTCTACGTTGATACCTTGTCGGAGCGCTATTCTCAAGCATGGTGGAGATAAACACACACACACACACTTCATACATGTACCTAGCCACACCCAGCGTTATGCGCATTACATGACAGCCAGTTTCGTAACAACTACGTAGGAATTTAGCGTTTCTATTATCGTCACCAGTGTCGGTGAGATGGCCCATGGTAGTTCCTGTCTCTGGGACGACAGAGCCATAATGAGTTGCACACAGCAATGCTCCGCTGAGGCCTGGCCAACGTGCTCTGGAGCTGTGCCGCTCTCGAGAGCAAGCCGGAGCTATCGGACCTCGTTGCTGCGCGCCTTCATTCTTACACCGTGTGGCCGTGTGGCAGTATGGTCTTCGTTGGGTTGCCCGGCCAGGCTGCGGCTGTTCAGCTTTCGGAGCCGTTGCCAGCAGACCTTGTGCGCATGGTCCGGCGCCCACGTCATGGCCGTGCGTCGTGCGTCCTCTTCTCCTCTCTCGGACTCAGGCCTGGGCCTTCGCTCGACTCGGAAAGCCAGAGCCTTCAAGCCTCATTGGGCTGAGGGATGCTGAGGGTGGAGTGCGAAGTGCCCGAGATTCGTACGCCAAGGCGAGACCCCACTTTTATCGAACTGCTGAAACGTCAGGCCTGAACTCTGCATTGGCAAAGCATCACTGCAACTTCATCTTCACTCCGACCTGCAGGTTGAAGTCATTCCGAGGCAGGTCTGTGTGCTGGTCCGCTCAAAGCTATCGACTTTTCATGCTGCGCATAAAGTCGTCTTGCAGCCTCTGGACACAAGTCGACATAAGCTTGCAGAGGGCAATGCACCACATCAAAGCCAGATTGGATTCAATCCTGCTTCCAGACTTGGCCTGGGCGCTGGTGCCTTACAAGAAGCTCCAGCTGGACTGGTTGGGAAAGTGTAACCTTTCCTTCGATCATGTCCAGACGAGGCTTCTCAAGCTGCAAGCCACGGATGGTGCAGTGTTGCAGAAGCTGCTCGATCAGGAGCGCTCAACCACCCCCGACTGCAGCGAAGTGTCAAGTTGCCCGCGCGAAGGCTGGACGAGTTTCCAAGCTCGACGGCATGGGCTGGATGACGCTCATATTGGCTCTTCGCGTGCGCTTCCAAGACCTCCAGAAGCGTAGGAAGCGTAGGGCGTAGGGCTGTCAAGGACTGTGAAGCCCTGCCCATACACGCTGACCGAAGTCCACTAGCCAGCTGGATCGTCTTTTGGCCATCGTTGCATAGCCCACCGCAAGGCCAATCAGGCTGACACTGCGCAGCTGGACGGCCTCTTGAGTGAAGAGCTTGGAATGTCTTTCAGACTGCCGTGTTGCGTCGTGTTCTTTGCGGCTCAGGCAGATGTGCTGCCCAGATGACAGGCCTGGCATTGCGCAGTCACGGGACTGCCGTGAGACTGCCGGGTGCTGTTGAAGAATGCCCTGCAAGGCGAATTGCCTCAGCAGGCAGATTCAAGCCTCGGCCTCGGAGAGCCGGAGAGCGTAAAGCCAAGTTTGTGCGCTCTCCTCAACGGCTTGTTGAGGCATTTTGGCATTGGATTGGCTTCTACAATCGGTCAATGTGCCCGAGGCGAAGCGTCCTGAGAGCCGTCGCGAGCGCAGCTGTGTCTTCACATGATTTCCCAGGATGCTGGACGGCTCCGCGATGCCGTGGCGACTCAGGCACTTCTGCGACGTCCCGCAAACCCAGCCTTTGGACGACCAAGAAAGGTGGCTAGTCGGAGACTAGACAACTCGAACCTGGAGAAGATGTTCAGCGATGAGGTTTCGCAAGTATGAGCTCATCGAAGCTGTTGCTGCATCAGAACTTGTTGTTCTTTGCCAGGGCTCATGCCTCCGGCTGCCGGCGAGTGAAGGCAACCTGATTGCGACCATATAGCTCGGGAGGAAAGTCCATCAGCGAGCACGTTGCAGTAGCTGACCATATCTCATTGATACGTGATGGCCACTATCAAATCGAATTATTGTAAATAGATAATTCTGCTTTTAGACCAGTGAACCTATTAAAGATAACTATATTAGATGAGATATTATCATTGATAGAAATGGAGAATAAATATAGAAATCTAGTTTCATGCTTATTTTGATACCTTGCTCAAGAGGGCTTGAATGTTTAAAGATTTAGATATATTGTAAAAGATCTTGAAATAATGAAGCTCTATATATGTATGATAAATATTTGAATATGACATAGGTTCTACCTGCAATCGAAAAATGATTATTTATGACTAGATTGTAGTCTCTTATAAGGTATTCGATCTTAAGAAATTCAACACTGTGATTGAGTTCTGTTCTTACTTGGAATTTCGAGGTTTCTCGACGTTGATTTCGTTGCTTTTACTTCTTCTATTTATTGGGATCTTTCGATTGAGTTGAGTATAATCGATAACGAGTCGTAATATTCTTTTTGGTAATCGAACTTTTGATCGTTGTAGTTGATTTTGTTTGTTCATTAGATATGATTCTATGTTTTCAGGAGTAAGGTCTAGTGGCATTTATTCTCTAAAAAAATGGTGTCGTGCTGGTTGCATCCGTCATTCTGCGCGCACTTGGTCTTTTTCTGTGTATCTTCGTGGAAGTCTCTTGTATGACTGTCTCGCGTGATTCAAACCTTGGGAATTTTAGTGTCAAAGACTTTGATAGCTTTAGGAAATCTCGCGGAATTTAGATCTTCCAAATGTTCGTAGCTTTAGGGTGATATTCTCGCGGTGATCAAATTCGATAGCATTTTGGCGCAGGTTCTGATATTGTGCTTACTGAAGGAAGGCAAATATCATTCGCACATTAGGGTTCGTGTCCGGGCTCGCGTTTGCGTTCGTTTTCGGGTTTGCATCTGGTTCGCGACCGGGTTCGTCGTGTCCGTGTTTGGTTAGTATCTGGGTTCGTGTAAGGTTTGTCCGTTTCGTGTTTGGCTTCGTGTCTGGGTTCGTGTCTCGCGTCTGGTTCGCGTCTGGGTTCGTGTC